GGTAGGTCCCAAAGTTAGGGTCCCATTTTGGTAACCCCCTAAGTATTAGGTGGCGTAATATAATATAACCAGAGGGGGCCATAGTTTTGAGAATTTCGCCCATATTTTATGGAGTCTTGCAGGGCTTCGAGCGAACCAGAGGCAACTAGAAGGGACGTTCAAAACCCGCTCCTCACAAAAGCCCGGTCTGTTCACAAAGGTTCTACCATTCTCAAGAAGTCAAACCCAAAAACATGTTGATTTTCCGGGACTTTTCTAACATCCCCAGAGCTTCGGTGCCGGCACCAAGGTTGCTTGAAGCTGCAGAATTCGCAGACCCAGTGACTGGGCAAGAGAACCTGAGCTGAGAATTGGCATCTCTAGTTTCTCCATGAACAATAACGATGGCTTCTACCATGACTCGGCTCGAATGAGTAGTAGCTGTACATCCCACCATCTCCTCTTGATCTGATGATGCTTTGCTTTTGAAGCTGTTAGTGTTATTGTAGTGGTAGGCACTTCACATGGCGAGCATAACGTCCATGATTCGAAGACGAGAGAGACTGCAGCAAAAGGAGCTGCATCTGCTTGCTGGTGGTTAGTAAGGAGAAATCATCCGTATGTAATCCTAATATAATATGAGCTGTAGTCTAAACTCCTTGAAGAGGGTTATATAGGGGATTATATTGGGGACTGTTGTAAGGGTTACTAAGGAGTATACTAGGAGTTTAGACTGTAGCTAATATTCCCCCTAAAGAGAACCCTGCATAATCCCTATACGCCCTATTCTAATCTAGTAGTTTCCATTTCCTTTGCCGTTATCCCTATATAACCCCTTGTTCCCTACTCGCCCCTAGTAAGTCAGGATCGTAGGCAAGCTTCCTGGACCCACGACCCGGTTCGACAAGCTTCTGCGAAACAGCGTGCCTGGGCAGCAAGCTTGTTAGCACTTTGTTTAGGGTTTAGGGCAAAACCCTAAACCCTTTCGGCTGAAAGCCTGCCCGGAGAGGGTAGCTGAAAAGAGGGTAGACAAAAGTTGGGACATGGGATGATGGAGCGTGGTCATTGGAGCCCCGTAGAGGCATCGTTTTGACACATCCTTTGTATGTATTCATCCTCAAGATGGGGACTCATTGGGAGTGGTTGTTAAAATTATGGTCTCTCCCGGACTTCCTTACATATAGGACGCCCGAAACGGGACCAAAGAGGACAAGCTTCCATTGATACGGTAGTAGCAAAGTTTCAGCACGGTCAAGCATCCGGGGCTGGCTGCTGAACTGACGGGCATGATTGATATGCTCCGGACAGTCTTGGTTTGATGGAAATAAAGAAGGGACCCCTAATAATTTTGGGAAAACCCTAATCCCTATAAACCCCTATATAACCCAGGTTCCATTTCATTTTCCATGTTCTTTTGCATTTGATTCTCCATTATAGGGTGCAATAATACCCAAACTAGAACACCACCAAATCTGGCAGTATGTGTACCTGTACCCTAAACCCTAAACCTGTTCTGAGAGGCTTGACTTGAGGTTGCTACATCGTAAGCTTCAGTGGTTATATAGGGTTACATGGGGTTATATAGGGTTCTATGGGCTCATATTGGGTGTTATATAGGGTGTTATAGGGTTCCAGAGTATGATGGTCCCGATAGTAGCACTGTCAAGATAAATGGTGTCTCTCAAAGATTAGTTGCATTGGTGCTCTTTGGTTGGGTGTGGAAGTGGGACCCTAAACCCAACCCTAAACCCTAAACCCTGGAGAGGGTGACTCTGCACTCCAAGCATCTCTAGGCGGATTGGAGTTCCTCAGAAGAGTGAGTACTGATTGCCCATAATCTGTGTGTAATCCACGCATGAATCGAGGGTCTTTAATGCCCCTGTCTTGAGAAGTTTTGGGGGGTCAGGGGGGCTTAGAAAGTATGCTTAAAACTCCTGTAACCCACATACTAACGCCAGGTATCCCGTTGTGAACCTATTTACTGGGCATCCAAAACCCCTGAATTGCCAAGAGGAGCCACTCGACCTCTCCACAACGATTTGCGCTGCGGATGGAAACTTGGGCTGTATCTCTTGAGAGCTGCGATACAGGGTTTAGGGTTAGGGTTTAGGGTTTAGGGCTTGGGTTTAGGGATATAGGGATCATATAGGGATGTTAGGGATTATGCAGGGATATGATACAGAAGGTTTTTACAGCTCGATTTTCCCAATAATGGAAAATCGGTATCATGGTTTAGGGCTGTTACATACTAGCTACACTTTGGACAGTCAGAGCACCAACCATTCCCCGTATGACAGACTTATACTGAGAGTGGGCAGTACCCAAGACATCTCTGCTTGATGGCAAAGTGCATTGTAGCTGGGAACCTGAGCAGCAGCGGAATGTTTCCAATAAATAGGAGCTTGATAGAGTTTGCTGAAAAGGGTTTAGGGTGTAGGTGCAGGTTGGAAACCTCAATCCCTATAAACCCCTATATCATCCCCAGTGTCCATTTCACGTTTCATGTTCTTTTCCATTTGAACCTCTATTTTTGGGGGTAATATCCCTATACACTAAACCCTCCACCCTAGATAGTAGCTTCCATGTTCTTTTCCATTGCCCCATTACATATCCCTATATAATCTCTAGCGGTTTAGCGCCCCCAAGCTCGAACTAGACGCTAAGTCCATCTCTTTTTCTACATTATCTCCCATGTGATTCTCATGTATTGCGTAATCTGTCAGACCCTAGCCCCTAAACGCCGCGGTCAAAGGCTGAGATGTAATTGAACTCGCTAGAACCCCTGACATAACACTGCTACATCCCTGTCGAAACCTAAGCCCGATACCTTAAACCACGTTTAACTCATTTAGCCAATCGAAGAACTTTAAACTTTTTGGGCTTCCTTTTTGGGTCTCTATAATAAGGCTTAAACTTTTTTAAGCCCTGGTTGTTGGAGAAGAGAGTTAAGGTGAGCCTATCGTGAACCTGATGTTCCTGCGGGTGGACGCAGGGTTGCTGGCAGGGCTGCAGGATGATACCATCGAGATGCTGAGGAGCTATGGAGCTCTTCAGGACTGTTTGGGGGATTTTGGGTTTTGGGTTTAGGGGTTTAGAGTTTAGGGCACTTTTGAGGGTTTCGGGATTTCACCCTAAACCCTATAAGGATTCGGGTTTAGGGGCTTGGTTCAGGGATTTGGAGAAATGGAGTCGGGCTTTCAGGTTTGGGAGAGGCTTCATTCCGGGCTATGCAGAATCCTGCTACGAAATGGACTTGGGTGTTGGGTTTAGCATTTTGTTTTTTGGGCTTTGCTTTCAGGATTGGAGTGTAGTGCTTTGGGGCTTGAATGTAAGGATCCCACGACAGGGCGATGCAAATCACGGGTTAAAAGCGGATTCCAGGATTTCACAGCAGCAGGATGCAGGAAGCAATTGGGTCTCGAAGGATCCCTATAGTTGCCTTTCTCTAGGTTATGGTCCCCCTTAAGTCGATAGAATATGGCTTTGCGTATATTATACTAAGATCCCCATCATGTACCCCATATTCTATCTACTTAAGGGGCACTATACTCCTGGGAAAATTTGTGTGGATGAAAACTTCCTAGGGCTATCGGTTTACATGGTTTACCACAAGAAGGAGATTTTGTAGTAGTTTTCGTGTTCCTTTCCACCCCCAGAGACTTGCACACGCAATCGTAAGGTCGATACATCATTCGCAGTGACACTTCACTAGATGGTAGAGAGAAGTCAACATTGTCCCTCCAAAATCCTTGAGACTTAGGGTTCAGTTTAGGGTTGAGGGTGTTTCGCGGGTTTAGGGGGCTTGGGGTTCAAGGTTTAGGGTCTTGGCTGGATGGTGACCTGTCGCACGATCATATTCTTGCATACTGCGGAGAGCTTTGCGCGATCCATCAACATGCCTATGCTAGATTTAGTCTGATTGTACTCTTTAACCAGGTTAGTGAGCATGTTGCTCGCAAGTTAGAATTAGAGGGGCTGTCATGAGTACAGCTGTGCCAATCACGAGCACTTCCAGGCGTCCACGCATGCAAGCCTGTTGCAACGGGGTTTTGGTTCCTAGGACTCCCAGAATCAGAAGTCACATATGCAAGAGTAGAAACACGTCACACTTGCAATCGGGCATCCCCACATGTCTTCAAGATGTTCGAATGAGGCATGTTAGGGCCTTTCATATTCCCAATGACTCTTTACAGGGGAGTACTTAGTAATCCCATCCCCCTTAATGGGGACCTTAGCGGAAGTTGTCGGGTCCTAATTTCACGGGTCGGTTGCGGTTACCAAAAAGTCAAAGGTCATGACTTGGTAGCTTTCCCAAGCAGGGAAAACTCAAGTATAGACCAACTAATTCTAAACCACATGATTAGGACCCCCAAACCAGGAAATCCATGGAAATCCCCTACTTGGGAGCCCTAAAGCCTAGATCCTAAACCCTTAACCCTAAAACCCTGACCCCTCGGCTGTTGCGACTTGAGGATGCACCTCATGGCTTCGGAGATCTAAAGTGTTGCCTCAACTTGGCGAAGGCATCGGTAGGGTTGTGGGGCCCTTGTCCAAATTACTATTACCATTATATACTATTATTTTTTAGTATATTATTACCATTATTCGTATTATTTTGCTATTATTATGATGATTACGACTATTGTATGAATATTATTGTTCATATTTTTTATTTTTATTGTTTGGATACACCATCCTTTAAAGAGGTTTTCGGTAGTTCTAGGGATGTTTGGGGTGTAGGGTTGGAGACAGTTGGATTCTGGCTGTCGCCCAAGCCCAAGTTTAGATTGAAAAAGAGTTCGGGTCTTCTCAAAACAGTGATGCACTTCAGTGGTCTTGGGATACGTAGGAGCCATAAGGCAATTATAGAGGTCCCTTCAGAAACTGGAGTGCTTGGGCGGGATAATGATCAGCTGCCACAGCCTGAAGTAAGATCAAGTAGGGAAGCCCCATTCTACCTGCAACAGTTTTGGGTTTAGGGTTCAGTGGTTTTTTAGGACGCGCACTGAAACTGCCGGCAGGTGGACAGCCAGAGATTCTCTGGGGGAGGCTTCGGGGGCACCGAGTCCACACATGAGGTGCTCTTGCTACCAGATGGCAGGATTCTGGCAAAATACCATTACGAGAGCGACTACATGGAGAAATCCGGTGACTGGCCTTTTCAGCTACAACATACGTGCACGCCAAGAATCCTCCTTTGATAACTCGAGAATGGAGAAGTACATCTAGCACTCTTCCCCCACTTAAAGATCTCGCCATTCAGACAGACGCCGGCGGGCATGAACTATTGCGATCCCATACACGCTCCCACATGCTCCCTGTGCTGCACGGACCCAAACAAGGCCTGAAGCTGAAAAGGATTTTGTAGATTCACGACTCCCCTACAGACTCCCAAAATGCAATAGTATGGTCTTATTGAAGAATCCAATTACAATGCATCATGATGTCGAAGAATCCCCAAACCCCTGAGTGCAGAATTACCAGTGCTACGCACAAATTTCAACCTATGATTCTATGATGGTTCAGCCACAGCGGTCCCCCTAAACGTTGCAGATCTGGGGGCCAAATGGTGAGGGCCATATTTCGGTGAGCAGAATTTTCCCTAACTTAAAGACGTACTGAGGCGACTACAGCTGCACTTGTTTCTGGGAGATCGCCGAAGGAACTTTCTCGCCCACTTCAGACCCTGGGTGCCTAGGAACCCCAGTGGTACCCTTGTACCCTTTTTGGGTTCTGGGTTCCCATATATAATATACCAACANNNNATGGTTACTGGGCTACCAAGGTGCTTGCTGCTAGAATGGAACAATTGGGCGGAGCTGACTCAAAGGAGCGTGGAGCCCTTTGGTCCAGGCCACTGGGCTTAGGGTTGTGTAGGGTTATTCAATGGAAAATCAAATGAAATGGAAGCTACTAAGTACATGGTTGCATAAGGATTACATGGTAGTTTCTTCTAGAAATAGGGGAACCCGAAGATGGACCCCCAAAAAGGTACCTCCAGTTTTGGAACCCCTCCACATGTTTTCCCTGTATGGCTTCTGTAGGACCCTATACAGGGTTTTTTCGGCCAAGCAAGGTGAGATCACAGCAGTTTGGGAGCCAAAGGTCATAGATGCAGAGCGTCGCATGGGACCTTCTACGCTGGTGCCCACGGACAAGGGAGTTTTGACTCTCGAGAAATTGTGCAAAACATGGGCAAGTGAGTCTAAAGGCGGAGTTGCGTGTGCGCGGGAAAGCTCTGTTCGAACCAAAAAGACACTGGAGTCTTTTTAGGAATTGTTTTTTTAATCTTTAAAACTAAGTAGAAGAAACCAATATGCCGGAGTCTCATTAGGAATTATTTCGCGCTTGTTCCAGTGAAATCCTACAGAATCGTTAGGAACAGTATTTTTGTTATAGGTCCAAGGGCACTCAAGGACGTTGGTCATGCCAAATCTTGACACTGGCACCTTGACAACTCTCGGGATGCAGCTGGCTCACCTGGCATACTGGTGTCCTGCAAGCTGACATGCATTCTGCTTGCAAAAGAATGTCTCGGAATTCAATCCCTTGTAGAAAGTCGCAGTAATCAGACGCTTACTGTTTGGGTCATTTGTGACAAAAGGGACCCTGATTCTGAAACATTTGGATGTTGAAGTCCTCATGGAGCTAGCAGCCCACAACTGCTCATGAGGCAGTCACGCAAGAGATGAGGTATGTTTAATGGGGATACTTTTTTGCGCGTATGGTGCGTCATAAGAAGAGCATAGCCTTACTTGGCCCAGTCACCAATGCACAACATTTTGAGGAGAGCAGGAAATCCTATGCTCACAAAAGACATCCCCGCAGAGGCATCTCTCACTCCGGTGTTGTGCACGCTTTTTTGTTGTGAGGGACACTGGGTATCCCAAGTTTATGGAGGACATGTCATTCAAAGAGGAACACTGGGCAGAGGGTTGTCTTGCAAGCCTTCATGCTTGCCAGTGCTGCATTGCTTTTGGCCGGCTGGTTCCAGAATTGGAATTCCACGTTGCAGGCCCGGACATACTGCACCTTGCAGGCATTTGAAGGAAAAAGCGTCAGCTGGAAGCTTGTGTTGGCGGTCCGCCGTTTAGGGTGTAGGGTTCCGGGTTGTTTCATTGTTGTGAGGAAGCCCGGTCCGCTACTGAGGAAATTGAGTTAAGTTAAGCTACGGTAATTTGGAAGTGCTGTTACTTACAACACACTCATATCATGGCAACTTAAACCCTAAACCCCATGCAACCCGTACTACGGTAACTTAAGTTCCTCAACAGCAACCCAGTATAGACATGCTCAGGTGCCGAGGACGGCACGCATATTACCCAGAATTTTCAAGTCTATCACGTCGAACCCAGCTTTCCCAACATTACTTGCTGGTTCCCAGTAGAATGAGGGAATAGATCATAAAAGGAGTATATGGGTTATATAGGGATTACGTTCCCCTATTCCCTACTAAGAAACAGTAAGATTATTCTCAAACTTGCAGGGCCTTTCATGTTATCTTTGGAAATCCTTCTGCAATCCAAAGGGTGATGACACCATGATCCGAGAGAATCCGTGTATGCTTTCTAGAGTCACCCACATGAAACTCTTTTGTTGATACTCAACTTGTGTGCGGCTCAAGATACAAAAAGTGTTTCAGGTCTTTCTGCTGGTAACTTTAGGTTATCAGCCGTAGCCTAAGCTATGTCTCGCCTACCCGCCTTACCTCCGACAAGTCCTGCAGGCGACACTCTGGAAGCAGGTACAACCGCAGTCGCTAAGGCCAGCCAACCTTCCAGTGGGTCAGCTGCGCCCCCGCCTACTGCACCTGCAGAAGTGCCAAGACTTACCGCTACTACCATTCAGCATTTAGACAATGCAATTGCTGTTCCCATTGAAGGCTCAGAGTTGGGAAAATGATGGTTATACG